CTGTGTATAATGACCTACTTGTCCTGCATTAAGATTCAAGAATACGGAACAGTAAGATGAAACATAATTCACAGAAATGAAGAAAGCTTTCTATTATAAAATAAAATATAAAAATTAAAGCTTGTTCAATTGTTTCAATGAATTAATAATAATAATTCCTTTTTATATATAATCTGTAATAATATGTAGTTTTTGTTAGGGTTAGTAATAATTCGTGCTTAGTGCTATTGTGGGTCATGGTCATGGATACCAACAACATTATTGAAAACGATTCCACACTTCCGTAACACGTAACACGTAAGATTAAGATTTTTTAAATATTTCAATTAATTAAATCAAATAAAACTATTTAAATGTTAATTAAAATCTTGTATATAACAGACAAGGTTCAAATAAAACACCAACTGACTAAAAACAGCAATCACTAAATTCACTCAAAATTTTAGTTCACCAGCCTTGTTTCTTAGATTATCCAGAATTTTACTTGTGTCAACCCTACCAGCCACGCGTCCGCAGCAGGGTGCCGAGCGATATTTATTGTGAAGACTCCAGCTTCAGACGGGCGTTTTTAAAATCAATGGGCTGTAACCCTTGTTTATTTTGTAGCTGTAAATATACGTTACGATACCGCGGCACCAGCGGTGCACAGTTTGATAAGTAAGTACTTAATAATGCTTAAAGAAAGAGAGGGAGGGAGAGATATTTTACTGTACTTTCTAATGCCATATAAGTAGTTGTTCGGATGAAATATAAATCATGAAAAGTTTTAAAGATTTACCTCTAATTCAGAAAACATACACAACGCATCTATGTATTTTCACGCTGTATAAACAATATTTGACGGTAAGAGACGAAAGATTAATTTAAAACAGTGCAATTGGACTGATTTTATAAATAAGGGCAACCCCCTATATAGTGAGTGTATCATTAGTATGATATAACACGTGACATTTTTTTTTACACGAGAAAGTTCTTTAACTCAAAACATTTTTGATCTTATTCGCATTATCCCCAGCCTACTAATTATCTCAGTATTCAGGTACTAACAAAAAGAAAAGTATACTTTAAAGTCAAAGTCAAAAATCATTTATTCATATAGGTAACACAATGTACACTCATGAACGTCAAAAAAGAAATATACATTAAATGCTTCTAATTTTACATTTACTGCCAGTTCTCAAATCAAGGGCGTAGAACGGAAGAGAAGAAATGGCAATAAAAAGTTTACTTGGTTACACGTTGTGGTTGCTACTCCTTGTTTAATGTACATGTAGAAATCACTATCACAAATAACATAAAAATTATTAGGTTTAGTTTCATTTCTAACTTTCTACTGCTTATTATATTTTTTTATAGAATAGGGTGCAAAGGGACATGTACATTCACATTGCCAGTAGGCTTGCAAGTGCGTTGCCGGCCTTTTAATAATTGGTACGAAATCTTTTCTTGAGTCGTCGAAGTTATTGGCGCGACACACAATACAAAATATGAAACACACTGGAATCCAGTCATATTACATTATTTTAACTATAGCACTAATTTGTTCTTCTTCATTATGACGTGAACACTATTTGATTGAAAGAGATGAAACGTATCTCAAAATAATGATAGTAATAATTACATTCTCCTGTCATCTCCCGATAGACGGTTCTTTTGCTGAGGCTGTTTCAGTGCAGAGGAATCACCCACGTAGTCCTGAAATGCGTGTCTGTGGCTTTCCAACGAACAGACATCCTCGGAGCAGTGAGGTCGCCCAGTGCAAAGGAAACTTCTGAGCTTCTGGAAGCAGCTAGCCTGGCTCACTTAGCCAGGACTTAACGCACAACTGAACGGGCGTCTACTTTAATAATTTAAAATAAATAAATTGTTTCACCACTTCAACGACGATTACTTCGTATAATTTATTGTATTACTTGTGCACGGAAAGAAAATTTGCAGAAATTTAGCGTCAGCTGTAAGTATTATTTGAATATTCTATTGAAATGAGTTTCTATCAATTTGTTTGGAATGTCGCAGAAATAACGGGGAACTATTTTCGTACGGTATCTAGGTACATCTGAGTAAATTCCTATTGATTTTATATATGAATCCGTTAAAACTCTTTTGCAAAAAACGAACACCTAAGGAAATTAACGTTCTAAAGTTAATTAAATTTAATTGTCTGACGTAGTGCAAATTGTGTAAATCGTTAAAACGGCCAATTTTTTAATACATTTTTTATGTTTTTTTTTAAAACATGTATACGGCCAAACAATAAGAAGGTATCGGCAATAATGATACATTGGTCAACAGCATCTCTTGTTCAATACGCGTTGACACATTATGGTGAGGTTTTTTTTTTAAATATACCCCTACATCCTAGCCTATCAGACACGCAATCAGGCAGATGTGACCGAGTGGCTTAGCAGCAGGGGAGTGTCGAGATCTCCCCTTTCTTAAAAAGGGACATTATTATCTTAATGGGTTGGCGTCTCCCGTTGTTCCCGGGCGACAACTACTCCGGAAATATCGTCATAATATTTATGGGCGAGTCGGGGCCCGCTGCCCGGCGCTACCCGCGTTACGTCTCGTGCTATTATTGTGACTGACATGTTTGACAATCTTGCCGCAGAATTTTTCCAGCTGCGATCTGTGCTCAAGCAACATGTCGGATAGCCCATCCCGGGATACCCTCATGCCAGTCTCGAGCTCCAGATCGCACCTGGCCCTTTCAAAAGTAGCACAGTCAACAAGTAAATGAACCACCGTTTTGAGCTATATTGAGGTTATGCAAGCTTGCTAAAGCTTGCCCTTGCGCATAAATGGCGACACATCCCTAATTCACAATTATCATCCAATTTCAATTCTGTCAACCTTTGCAAACGCGTTCGAGTCTTTATGTCCGGTAATACAAAATTATTTCAAACAATGATCGTAGCCATCGCGACATGGTTTCGTCGCTAAGAAGTCCAGAGCCACAAATCTTTTGGAATTCACTGACATTCTTAACCGAAGCCATATACTTCAGAAGATAGTGCTAGTAATCCAGACTTTGGCAAAGCGTTTAACATACACTCATATTGTTGGCGACTCATAGATTTAAATAGTATTAAGTATGAGCTATAGGGTAAATATGAATATTGTTTGCAGCTCGTAAGTGGTAATTAAGTATGGGCTATAAGTTAAATAAGAATATTGTTAGTAGCTCATAAGTAGAAATTAAGTATATATAAATAAGTTAGGTAAAATATGTAAAGAAAAATATAGTTAAATAAATTATAAAATGCTTCGCCGAATAAAAGGGTCGCGTAGCTCTCGTCGCGGTATACGCGCGCAGATGTCTGTAAGCGCAGCTCTCGTCGCGGTATACTGTTGGAGTACTTAAGCTCGGCGAGATTTACGCAAAATCCTCTTTCCTCCGACAACGAACTGGGACCCACGAATAATCGGCGAAGCAAGAAACAAGAACAAGGCGCAGTTTCATTTCAAGACAACATCTACAATTACGAACTAGCAGGGGTGCGTGGGTTGAGGCGGTGCCAGCAATACGTCGAACCGTCTTAACAAAACGTACGTAGTCAAACCCCACCGGTATTCAAAGCCGCGCCGAGGTTACTTTGGTTACTGCACGGGTGTTCTCAAACGAACATCTAAACGTATAATCCTGTGCAGGCCCGAGTCTCTGAGGTGTCGTGGGGGTTGGCATCAACACATATGTTACTTATTGAAATCCTTCACAGCTATGGGTTTTCGGGAACATTATGTGTAATATAATTATTAAGTAGCTTAATTCATCTTTGAGATCCAGCTTTCTACGTTGTTCATGGCTTTAACTCGATTACTCACCGCATTACTTAAGGGGTACCGCAAGGGTCACATCTGAACCCGTTCTGTTTACTTTATTTATAAACGACATTACAAATCTTATAATAAATAGTAAGCCTTCTCTATGCTGATGATTCCAAACTATCAACCGCTATAAAAACGCAGGAAGATGATTACACCTGAAGAAGACATAAAAAGGCTAGTGCAGTGGTGTAATTATAATGAAACGACATAAAATTAGTATTATCATTGCTAGTTCTTCTCTTCCGTTCTACGCCCTTGATTTGAGAACTGGCAGTAAATGTAAAATTAGAAGCATTTTATGTATATTTCTTTTTGTTAAGACTAGAGAGAATCGAGAAAAAACTTGTTTGGCATAATATTATAACCCAGGTGTTTTCTCTTCGTTTTTACATTGCTTGCTTACTCTCATCACTTTGAAATTTTGTTAATAGCCAGAGGTTGGAAACACAGGACATCACAGTTACCTATAATATATTAAATTTTCTGAAGCCACATCGATAGTCCTCTTTTGCCATTTCCTTTCGTCCGTCGTTAAAACCGTCGTAGATTTTAACTCGGCTATTCCGAGGATGTGTAAGCTAATAAATTTTCTCCTAAAATTTACATTCATCTCACATAATCAGTTTTGGATCAGGGCTATCGTTTACATCTCGCTTTTTATATATATATATATATATATATATATAAAACATGCTGTGTTTTTCTGTTAAAGAATCCTTTTTTTACGTCCGTTTGACCAATCATATACGAACGCAACGTTTTGTCTTGCGTCTTTCGTTTTACATTCTTACTACCCAAGTTGTCACGTTACAGAATACAAAGTTTGAGGCTTAGAGAATGTAGATACATTTCTAAAATTATTAACTGTATAGAACTCAATAACTATAATTTTACTACTACATTACTCTCTTTTCAGCACGGTTTAAACACAGCTTGACAGAAAAAGACCTATGAGAGCTTTAGTTAAAACAGTATTTTATTATTAAATAGTTGGTTTTAAATTACACAAATATTATGGTATTCATACACCCATTGAGAAATGTAACTTATTCCTTATATACAGTTAGTAAGGTGAGGTATCGTTCTGTTACATAAAGATACAAACAGACTAAAATAAAGTATATTATAACTCCGATTCTCTACAAACTACATACATATAACAGTCTTACAATCTATAACGGGAACCAGCGTTGGGCGCCATCTATACGTATTACTTCACCATTTAACATGGGATTTTCAATTATACTTGTGACTAAATGTGCGAATTCCTCCGGTTTTCCTAAGCGTGAGGGAAATGGCGTCATCCTTTTGATGAATTTTATCATTTTTTCTGGTAAATATGAAACTAATGGTGTTTCAAAGATACCTGCAAAAATATTTATCGTAATGTACTTGCCATATTAATATTTATAAATAATTTAAAAACTTTTATTTGTATCTATAATACCAATAATTTTCAGGTCTAAGCATAATATATAATATTAGTTTAATGTATTTGTTGTCCTCTTATTCCTCAAACCCAAATGGCCATGTGTTTTTGAAATAGTGTGTAGTATACATATTTTTATATATATAATTCTTCTGTGAGTGTGTATGTCACTGAACTTCTCTCAAACGACTGGACCGATTTTGATGAAATTTTTTGTGTGTGTTCAAGGGGATCTGGGAATGGTTTAGATTCACAAATCAGCCCGGCAGATGGCACTGCAGTCGGTACTTTCATATTTTGCTTAATATCCTAATCACTTAAAATATCATGCAGGACAACGTCTGTGGGGTCCACTAGTATACATATAATATTGTGTTATTATACACTATGACAATTGTATGGAAAATTTAAGTGCTGTCACTTGAACGCAAATGGAAGTAAGGTTGTTGCAAATCAAATAACCATCATATAAATAAAATTACCTGGGGCAATTGTCATAACTCGGATTCCTTGGGATGCTAAATCCCTAGCAATTGGTAATGTCATGCCTATAACCGCTGCTGTTGACGCTGCATAAGCCGCCTGTCCAATGTCTCCTTCCATGGCTATCGTTGATGCTGTGTTTATTATAACACCCCGTTGGCCACTCTCAGATGGTTTATTTTTACCCATTAACCCAGCGGCTAGCCGTATTGTGTTAAATGTGCCTACAGTATTAACCTGTAAAAAATTTAAAACTGTCTTTTTACAGACATCCTGGTGCCTTTGAACTTTAAACTTTGGAAAAACCTATTTGAATATTCTATAAAACATAACTATAATAACTGAATTATAATCTAACACTAAGTTTTGCCTCTGGTAGAAAAATTATCAAATTATCTTAATTATATATTGTGTATGCATAGTGCCATAGACAATGATTTTATAGGTTGCTAGGTAGGCACTCTCTTTGACTGTTACATTGCATTCATTCATTACATAGCAATTATTATTTTATTCATTCGCTATATAGCAATTAACATTTCATTATTTCATATTTTATATGCGAGTGGTTAATATAGAGTAAATAAAATCTATTATTTAAAGAAACCCGACCCAGGAACCGTACACAACAAAATAAGAGAGAAATTACTAATACGTAATGACTTACATTTATGCATTTTTCAAAATGTTCCAATTCCACACATTTGTCTTTATGAAAATTATATGTTTGATGAGATACAGAATAACCAGCACAGTTAACTAAATAATCTAACCGTCCAAATTTTGTTTTGGCTAAATCTAGTGCTTTTATAACATCTGCCTCTGAAGTCACCTGAAATATATTTTAAAAGATCATAAAATAAATATGTGTTAAACACAAAGCGCTTTTTATTACCATATAGTACATGAAGATCTGATGATTTGACAAAGTCAAGCCTTAAGCTTTTTGCCAAGCAGACATTCAGTAACTAATTTTTAGGTCAAGTTTACTTTAGGTGATGCGGAATTCAAAGTAAAAGTTGTGGAAATTAAGTTTTGGCTGAGAAATGCCGAATTAACACAACAATTAAAAGCGTACATATAAGTTACTTGTAAATTTATGAAGTAGATAAGAAGTACTTTAGAAAAGTTTATTTAAAAGAAGTTAACATGACGATAAAGAAATAGTGCTAAAAAATACTTACACAACCAGTAGATACTAAAACATTTTCACCTATGGATTTGGCAACAATTTCTGCTCGGGTTCCTTGAACATCGAGAATAACAACATTTCCACCAAGTTTTGCCAATGTTTCAACCGTAGCCTTCCCAAGTCCTGATGCTCCTCCAGTTACCAAACTTACCATTCCCTGAAATGTTTAAGGTTATGTATTTGTTTACAAATTGTTATAAAAGCTAAATTAAATAAACAATGTATAAACCTTCAACATTTTTTATCTGTAATAATTTATTTTAATTTGCTTATTCCAAATAACGGAATATCTAATACATTAAGTATTTAAAATTATCTCGAAATCTATCAAGTTTTGATTTTTGATTCAAACCGCTCTGTCTGTACTCTGTACCATACTACCATGTTCCACAGACTAACTCGTTGTTCATCTGATGATTACTATTGTATAATTCGCCCTAATCGCGGTTAGGCCTTTCAGCCTCATTCTTACAACGCAGATTTATATTGTTAATAATGATATTATAATATGATTGTTAAATAGGCATTTTAATGATAAATAGGGAAATACGTAATTTTAGGTTCCTTTTAAACTCAGAAATAATTTCAAATCCAGAAAACAGGCCTACTTCTTAAAAAATATTATTTATGAAATTATCATCCCTTGCAGTTACAGAAATAATTTTATGGGTTCTTTTTAGAAATATTTGTTATTTTCTGTGTAATTTTATTTTTAAGTAATAACAGTAGCGTGAGTAGCCATTCTCAGATTCGAACTTCAGGAACACAAGAAGTCGATTGACAAAATGCGTATTTTACACAATATCCCCAATATAGTACCCCTTTCGAAAATTTTAGTATCTTATGTACTAAGTTCTTTGTCAAAGCTATACAATAGATAGATTATTAATGATATTTGCCACTAAATCATCTTAACAATCGACGAGGCCAGGTATTGTCCTCTTGCAGTAGTCTAATAGCCTTCTTAATCTATGGTCACTTCATATTTTCACTTCCCCCAGAAAGTGTTTCCTTTTCCGGTTTTCCAACCCAAGCTCGGGAAACGAAGAAAATCAATAGGCGTAATAGTAAATACTATGTAGTCAATATTTATTTAATTCCTTGTGTATAAGTTATGAAAGTTTCAAAAGCAGTGGCTCAAAGTTGTCAAATAATATTGCTACGAAATACAATTCTTACCTGTATATCCAAGAAAGGTCAGTTTTCAACACAGCCTTTATAAGTATGGCTAAAGTAGAGCAACCATTGTTTATTTTACCAAAGAAACGAAATGGAAAGAAGCTAAACTCAATAGGTGGGCATGTTGACCACATCATCACTGTTCAGGTACATAATACTTATATTCATTCCTTATTCAAATATCCTATATTTTTCTTTTTTTTGCTTGTAATGGTGTATGAGTTGTGACTACAATATTATTATATTATCCTTTTACATTATCCTAACAATATTTTTCTTCATGCAGGGAGCTACAGATACAGACATTGCATCAAAATACCAAAATGGGTTATCACCAGTATCTGAACATGTTACTAACGGGATAATTCACTCTACAATGGAAGGCCTCAAATCAAACATGAAAATAAACTTGCCCATCATCAATGATGTTAATGATGAAGATATTACAGAAATAATCACTGAATCTAAACCATGTCTGCAGAAAAATGGCTACCAGCCTTTAACTTTGAATAATAGTAGAGAAATTATTGATCTTTCACCTATCTATGAAAACTCTTCAGATGCATGCTCTAGTCATGGAGATTTGAGAGATGACAATGATGTGAATGATGAAATACAGAAAAGTTGCAGAATGTTAAATTCGGACACTAACGAAAGTGCATGCCCAACTCCTAATACCCTTTCTCAAACTCATTCAGAAGTAAGTTTGGAAATGGGCACAATGACTGATAGCCTCAAAAATAGTGCTAAGAAAAAGAAGAAAGTTAACATTATTTCTGGTATTACAGAGTCAGAAAATATAGAAACAGAGATCACAGCCTTAAGAGTTGATTCCGAAGCATCTCTTACTACTGACTGCTCATTATCAGAGAGTAAAGATGGTTACTTGACAATGACTGGAACAATAAAACGTGGTAAGAAAAAAGGTCAAAATGTTGATGTAAAACTAAATATATCTCGTGAAGAATTGGAAATTATCGAAGCATCAATTGTTGCAGATGAGTTAAGTAAAATGGATGTGTCTCAATGCTCACTGTATAACGGTCCACATATATTTTTATTCAGCCTCCTTATTGTACCATTTGTTGTCTGTATTTCTGCTGGCTATTCATTTTATATGGGTACTCTGGCTTGGTACAATATTTTTTCACATATTACTGAAGAGTTTACATGTGTTAAAAAGATGTTTTTGGCACCTATAGTAATTTTATCATACCCATTTCTAATTGTTATATTTACAATTGGTTTAGGACTTTATGCAGGTATAGTACAATTGACATTTAGTGGAGCAAATTGGTGGAAAGATGTATGTGACTTTGAGAAAGGTTTTTATGGTTGGTTATGTAATGTATTGGGCATGTCCGAGTGTAGTCCATATGAGGTTGTAATTCTAATGGATGTCAAACCATAACAATGCTCAAAGAGTTAATAACTTCACTTGATGAGGTGACCTACCATTGATAACAATATGTTAGACAAGCTTTGTGGTGAACACAATACCAAATATACCCATTATATAGAATTATTCCTTATCTAAAATATGTTTATTAACATTTATATGATAAAAAAAACATATAAAGAAAGTTAATTTATTATAAAAATACACTGCCATTGCTTATATAAATTTTTTAAGGATTCTTATGTATAGTATAATCTTTGACTTAATTAAGAATAATTTTTAAAGTGGGAGATCAAGTGGAAATTGGGATCAAAGTATGTTGAGATATCTTTGGAATGTACTTAATATATTAATCACATCATGCATTTCTTTAAAAGGTTGCCTTATATGAGACAATTTTAAAATCTTCCTGCTCAGCTTTCCTTTTATACCTTATACTTTCTATCTACTATTGATCTAATAATTTAGGAATGATGTAATCAATATTGTCCATATCATTAATTAGATATTATCACACAGTTTTCACACTAGGTTGTGTTTTTATTTGTGATAACATAAAATATATAATACTTATATGGATCTTGAATAAATATATGAAGGAAATAAAAAATATCTAAATTCATGAAATTATCTTAATTTAAGTAAAAGTACTAAAATACTTATATTATTTCAGAACTTTTCTTTTAATATATTTATTCAATGTATTTTACGCACAAAATATATAACTGGAATATCAAATTATTATATGAATCGCTTTTTGCCTAATGTTACATATATTGTCATGTTTATCGAAGCTTCAAGAATATAAACTAGGCAGATTACATGATGTAACCAGGAAAGAAAAAAATATAGTATTGCTTATCAGATTTATTGATCTCTATACATACCTGTTTATGCTATAAGTAGTAAGATGTCAAAATTTTGTAACTATACACATAATCAACACAACATTTATATGAAGACTGATGTATTCTAGTCACTATTGTGTCCATTTTCTACAAATAAATATTTTATAAAACAAAATTTGTTTCACTAAACAAACAGTCTACACTATCAAATATACAAATAAAAATTGGAACTATACCCAAACTATTTTCATGACGGCTTTGTTGTATTTTCGTTATCTGGAGGTTGTTTAAGTTTAATTTCTGTGTCTAATCTTTCTTTTGCTCGGACTATTTTAGATTGCAAATAAAATGATCCACCTTTTGCCTTATCATTAACACTGAACAAATGATCGAAATTTTTATTGAGTTTCTCTGCGTCTATTTTTTCTAAGTTTAGAATTTGCATTGCTTCCTCTAATGTGAGGCCTGATGAAGCGTTAGCTGCTGCCCGTCTAGCGCCCTGAGGTCCACCACCAGCTCTTTTTGCTGCTTCTTGTGATGCAGCTATTTCTTGTTTCAAAGCTCGAGCGAAAGCTTTTCCGACCACTTGGGCACCCAAAACGATTATTTGAGCAATATATTTGGCCATTTCTTTTTCGTATTATTAAATACTAATGTTATATCTGTTCTCATTACGGCACGGCAGATCGCAATTTATTTGCCGATTGAGGTTATAAAAATAAGTAAAAACTAAAAATATTTATATTATGACAATGACAACTACGTTTTTAACTTGATCAGAATCATAGAGATCTATGGAGAGGTTTGTCACCAATATATTATTTTTCTATCAGGCATTAATGGTTCATGAGGATGATATATTAGTGCCAATGGACTTTGTATCCGGCTAATAAATAAATTAAAAAAAAAAAAAAAAGGATGATATAATTTTGTCTCTTTATTTACAGTGCAAGTTGCATTAGCTGGTTCTAACTTCTACCTAATTATAAAAATGTCATGTCTTGAACAAAACATGTCGGCGCCCTTATATGAGATAGATGAAGTAATGAAATCGCACGATCATGCAGATATTTTAAGACTCCCACCTTATCATTACACATTGAATCCTATAGAAATGATTTGGGATATAACGAAGCAAAAAGTTGGTGATAAAAATGTAAAGACCATAAAAATAAAATTATTTCAAGTACAAGTGTCATAAAATTATTTCACACAAGCTTTCTCACAAATTGGTGCATTACCAAGTTGCAAGAATTGCAAGTGGAGTTCTTGCAATTGTTTTCTAGTTCTGAATGAGGTTTTAAGTTATTTGTATGATTGAAATTATATATGTCACCGTGAAATTGTAAACACCGTTAGATTTTAATCTAACTGTCGAGATTGTGAACTGTCGAAAGATTGTGAAACACGCGCTAAATGGTTGAACAGAAGATGCCCCGCGCCACCATATTTGTTTGTTAATTCGTTTGTTGTCGAATGTAAATTGATTGTTTTGATGAATGTAAATTGATGTCGTGTTGAAAGTCACTCACAGCTTTAGAATTAGTTATATGAAATTGTTGGGAAGTAAAATTAATCTGTGATTGACCAAAATAGTGCAGTTTGAATGATAACTAAGTTAGTGTTGGAAATGAAATGAAAGAAAATTTCATTACTGTTTCAATTTTAATTTATATTTGAGGAGAAAATATTGTTACGTTTCTGATTTTTATTTTAATACAATTTTTTTTACCATGTGATGTCAGAATTATTGATTACCTACTAAGTAATGAATAAATACTTGATGTCACAATTCTTGAAGTGCATTCAGTTTATTGGACTAATACCCGTGTTTCATTCCTAACTCCATGGACATAGAATGGTCTACTATAAAGCTGACCAATCAGGGACAGTCTTCGGACAGTTAACAATTTGACAATTTTAAGATTGTAATTTGACGGTTTCACTTCGATAGATTACAATCTACCGAATAATAATACGTTAAATTGTAAGCAGTGCGTTGGGGTTCACAATCTTTCGACAGTTTACAATCTCGCGAGATGGATTACAATCTAACGGTGTTCACAATTTTACGGTGACATATATAATAAATTAGTACATAAAGTAACTTACGATTGATTTTTTTTGACATATTTTTTCCTATCTTAAGAACCTGTTGCAAAACAACATTCTTCATACAAATTATTAATATACTTCATGTTCATTAATACTAAAGAGAAATAAAAATGTAACATTATCAAGAACATTTAATCCAATTTCACAAAGTATTGCCCACAACAAATTATTATTTCCCTATTTGACATGAGATTCCGGTAGAACTATATACCATAGAAATAACGTGATAATATGCCAGACGAAGGGATATATAAGTCTTTTATTTTCCAAGTTGACTGTTGTTAAATTTAATTTATAACATTTTAGGTAAACATAATTTGACTCAAAAAGTGATCTTTTTATTTCGAATGTCAATTAATAATACTTTACTTTTTATATATACAAAGACAATATAGAATATAGCTAAAAAGGTCGTAAGCATCGTGCCAACAGTTATCGTCTACAAACAATTTACAACTGTCAATTTTGTTTTCACGTTTGGTAATTGGTAATTGGTTATTGACTGATGAGTGACGATTATTGCACTTTATTTTTCAAACTGTAAGTTTGCAAATTTTCATCATTCACATTTGCGGAACTAGGAAACGCAGGACGTGAAAACTGTTACTTCCAGTTAATATAAAGTACCTACCAACGTCGTATTAAATTTTGCACCTGCACGCGAAGCTGCTAAACGCAATAAAATGACTTTGGGAACTTACAACAGGCATCAATCAGTAAAGAAGAGGTGATTTTTTGCTTTTAGTAGTAATTTTTTTTTACTTGTCTTCTTTGGATTCTGTAATCTTTTCTCCACAGGCAAGCGAAACTGGCAGCCGCATTTCCGCAAGGGATAAAGTGCCAAAAATGTCTGGAGTATGGGCACTGGAGCTATGAATGTACCGGAAAGCGCAAAATTCTGGTTCGACCCTCCCGCACTCAGGTTTTGAAAAAAAATTTGAAGGCCAAAAAGGATAAGTGCAGGTAAGCTTCGAGAAAATTTATATATTTATCTACCCACAATTTTAAAATCTAGTTCTAGAACATTCAATCAGTTCAATTACCCACTTCTAGTTTATAAAATATCCCATTTCAGTGTTAAGTACATGTCTTTCTTGGGGGTATTTGCTTATTAGTTTTATAATATTTTAGATATTCTATAGGTAGCAGTAGATAACTCCATATTTATTCTTGCTCTTCATTTATATCACACTATATTATATTTAAAAGATAATAAGATTGATGTTTTGTTGAATTATTTTACTATTTAATTTACAATATTTTAATTAGCTTTCTAATTTTGTATTTGTAAAATGTGAATGCTTTACAGTGATGGCAAATGTGATCTTCCTATTAAAAAGAAACGCAACAATAACTGTCAAGACTGTTCAGATGATGGCTCCACATCGGATTCATCATCTAACAGCTCATCATCAGACAGCGAGTCGGACAGTGGCAGCGAGGATGAAAGTGGTAGCAGCAGTTACACCGACAGCAGCAGCGGATCAGAATCTGACTCTGATAGTGACTAATTGTATGTAAAGTTATAATTCTATATGAGCAGTGTAACATGTCATAATTTTTTATAAGTAATTTTTTCTTTATTAACATGTTTTATAGACTTTATATTCTTCATTTAACAAAAATACATGAATAATCATTTCAGTTTTTCATTAAATTAATTTGGAACTAAAATTGAGAAAATATTATTAGACTAATCTGACATATCAGTATTATCATTCAAAAATGTTAAAAGATCATTTTGATATTCTTTAATAATCTGTTTTTAATAACATTTCATTTCTTTCTTACTATTTCTTCCTATTTAGACATTGCTCATTAGTTGAATAATGCTGGTCATTTAAAGATATGGATATTTTTTTATTTATGCAGACTTGATTGATTTAATATATTTAGAATTTAGCATGTTGATGAATGTTACCTGATTTAGTGTTTATTGTTTAATGATTGTATTATAATGGCTCTAATGATGGCATAGTTTTGATAATAATGGGAAAATTTGAATTTTCTTCCATGAGAATAAATGCAATTTGTGTTAAATTTTATGAAAAGTTTTTTGATTGTCAACAGTTCTTGTAGTAAGGCACAATGTACAGTAATATTTATAATTGATGACATGAGTCTCAATTAATTTAAAAGTATATATGAATGATTTTAGAGTTTAACTCTGGTAGTGTAAAAGAGGCTTTGTAATTAATGCTAATTTTATTTTGTTATGACTGTATGTGTAAATTTCTTAAGATAAATTTTAGATTTAAAAGCCATAGAATTTTGATGTCGAAATATTAAATTAAATAAATGATTTGTACATGTGGTTTCATTTTACATTTTATGAGTGTTTATAGTGGCCCTGAAAAGTATTTTATACAAATGTTTCATATCAAGACGATAATCTTTCAGGAACAGCTATAGAAGTATAAGTACAGTATAAACTCTATATAACTACTCTTGATGTTACAGAGAGTTGTTGTTAAACAGAAAGTTTATTTCAGACTAGTGTTAGTATGCTATGCTAACGCTTTTCCTGTACCAGCAAATATGTTGTATTTCTTTACTTATTTTATTTATATCTTGCTATATTGAGGCATCTTTGTGATAAAGTACGTGCAAGCAATCCCAATTTGTAAACAAACGAACGGATTTCTCAGAAAGTTCAGAACGTATGTTGTCGACAGTCGAGTTTATTACGGGCTAGGACAATGAAGACAAAAGAACGTACACGGCTCCGCAGTTTTAACTAATTTCGGCAAATTATAAAGTGCTTTTTGTTATTTAATTGTCGTTATTGAGGGTGGGTGTAATGCTATGTTGAGTGTATCATTGTATGGTAGACAAGCTAAACCAACCAAAACCAATTGATTTCGACGCTTTAAGGGGTTTGTCGTTACATAGAGTATACACTGTATTTTAATATTTCATACATCATATGCCTACCAAAGGGTTTTGAATATAATAAAATGGAGCTGTAGTAAAAAAAACATTTTATTCATCACAAATTTATTTTGAAACACAAAAATAATCTTAAACTAAAAACTTAAAACGCTTAAACATACATACCGAAACTGGTAGACGGCACAATTTAAAAGGTGGGTATGTTCAACATATTTAATTTTGTACTATGGTGCCAGCTGATCCAGCCTGTCCAACAATACTGTGATGTAGAATCAAGGCGGTTGTACATATCATAGGCTCAACATCTAGACTAAACCAACTCAAATTTTAAAAATTAATAATGAGAATTATGTTTTGTGTAAACTAAAAACCAATATTTTAATGGGTAAATTATTTTCTTGTTTAAAACCATGATTTAAAATATAACTATACAATATTGAATAAACGCTTAAAAAATTGTTAAGTTGAATTAATAATCTTCTACTTTTATTTTTTTCTCAGATTATTAAAAATTATGTTAAAACTTTAATTACTTTTTAAAGCACAAGCTTTTATTTAGATAACTTTTCCAGGGATGATAATATCTATAGTCTCTTCTACATCCATGATTTAAGAACTGCAGTAAATTAAAAACCAATAATTTACTGACAATCATCAGTGTGAATCAAGTTACCTACATGAATAAATGATATTTGAATTTATTAATTGGGAAATCCTTTTTGTAGTGTATTTGTGATGTAAGTATGAAATGAGTCTTCATACAAAAATTCCTATGACAGCTGTTCAACTAGGTTTAGGTTTTTTATTAACATTTAAGAATGTGGTACTTAGGCTGTGTCCATATTTTGTTGAGTTTTTGACTAGGTATATGATATTGTATATTTGGCGAAATATTTATCTGGTCAATGGGTTATATTCTATTTTAGTTTCAAAGCCACTTGAACTTCTATTAAAAAGTCCATGGATGACAAATTATTAGCACTTTTATGTACTCGTAGGTACTTCTGGCAATAAATGCACAATGACTTTTCTTTTAGCATCGTAACTAAAGTTATTTAGCTTGAATATCCGACTATCATAAAAGGGTTTGAGGTCTGTGATGTTTATCTGTCTCGCTCGTTCTAAGAGGTCTCTTTCTGATATTTCTATGGTTGGTTGTGTGAAATTGTGTAAACCACGCATATAGGCTAGTTGGTCTATGGTTAGTTGGCGAAGGATGTAGTATAGCAGCTCGCTGTGGTCCTTCTTGTATGAGAGGTACTTCTGGAATGTCTGAAATAACAATATATATATATAGCGCTTCTATAACCACGGTATTATTTATGTACACGTAAACAGTGGTTATAACTTTGTTATTTCTTTTTAATGGGGCCATGGTTAATGGTATTAACATTAATAATCTCAACAATTATCAAACCATCCTTTCCTCGGCAATTCAGGCCATTTTCGACCCTGCAACTTCGATGTGGATAAAATCAGTTACCAAATAGGGATTGTACAAACACGTTATATTTCAAGCCAGCAGTTTAAGAATTATAACTAGCCAATTTTTTTCAATTTGTGTGGCAATTGATTGGAATTTGATCTGGCAAAAGGTTGATTTGGGAATCGCAGTTAAAAATCTAAGTTAATATAACATGTATTACTTGTGAGATACATTGTTTACATGCGATGGCCGAGTCAATGATTTATTTTATATACAATATTAAAATAATGATTTGATTTTAACAATGTCTATTAGATATTTTTACTTCAATCTCGGCAATTATTTCTGGCATTTTTATGCAATACCTCGTCCATGTAATTTAAGGTTTTTTGTAATAAATTTTTTTTAATTTGGATATTTACTAAACATGCAAGAATTATTACAAAAAAAGGTTTGTGCGGTGGTCGTTATAGTTCGACACTTACTATTGATCGTCATCGTGAATGATGCGTTATCATTGTGATGACGCCTAGCAAAAATGATTTATATTAGTTAGCATAACTGCCACGCCGGATCTCTTTTAGCACCGACTATTTATGTGCCTTAATAAAAATAACATACCTGTCTCATCGCCCGCATGACACTGTATTTCTGTGTATCAACGAAGCTCTCGAGCATAGAACGAATGGCTAAGTTCACGTCTTCTTCATTCACTTGACCACGTAAATGCATACGTGCGTGGGCTTCACTCATACGTATTACTGAAATTCATAGATCTTTAATTATTGTTAAGAATATTCATTATTTATTTATTTATTTACAGCCTTATATCAGAAATACAAAATACATACAAATTATTCTTAAGAATATTAATTATATCTTAAGCTAATTAAAAAATATTTGTATATATGTTACAGTTAACACTAGTTTTTAGTTAAAACTCGTTTTCCCTAGTTAAAAATAGTTTTTACTAAATGCCTTTGTCAAAACTAGAAATTTATACTACAGTGGCGCTGGCGTGTAAACAATAGCTCCGTGTATTTTATTGTTTACTAATAGTTTAATCGCGTTATTTCAAATAAAAAGTAACTCAGTGAGGTTTCTTAAAGTTATCTTTGTGGTGGTAATGTTATACAAGTATTTTTTTATGAAACAGTGACAATAATAACAATAAAATTTTTTGCCCCTAACATTTCATATAAAATTATATTTTTGCTTGGAAATACAATTCTTACTCAATCTACAAACTTATAATGTGACAAACTTACCAGTAAAGTGCTATAAACTAGTGACCGATGATAAAAGTGAAGAAACGTATAAGTTAAGTGAATCCTTTGTTCTCCAAGGTGACCCACTTCAATTGAATTGTAACGGATTTTCTAAGCAATCTATACAAATTGAAATATATCGCTTAATTTCACAATATTGGTAATAGACCAGTTGGGTAATAGACCAGTTGGCTAATTGTGTTATCTACTTGTCAAGAAATTAACATAAAGCCTGAAACGTCCCGGTTCAAATCACGACGGCTATAAAATTGTTCGTCTTTACTATTTTTTTTTTTATTTTTTTATTTTTTCTCACAATGGAGGATGCCTACGTTACAATAAGAAGAAAAAAGGGAAGATCCATTGAATCCCTTAACATTTCATCTACCTCAACTCAATCGAACTATGACTGTTATGAAGTTAGAAGCTTACCCGACATTTCTACAAGAAATGTATACGAATATTCCGAATTATTGGAGAAAATAAATCAATTAAAATCAGAATTGGATTTAGCGCACCAAAGAATTGGAAACCTATCACTTGAAAATTCCATGAAAAATATTGAAATTTCAAAACAAAAAGAAACCATAAATAATCTTAAAAAAGAAATATTCTACACCTTACAATATTACTACTCCCAACACATTGTCAGGAAGCAAAAAACAGAGGAAAAAACAAGGTAGGAAAATAAAGAAGAAACAAAAATTAAATGCAAGTTGTGGCAACTTGGAATTATTAGAAACCTCGATGGAGGTTCTTAACGCTGATTCTAGGAGCAATTTTATAAAACCTAAAGAATGTTTACCGTCCTCGAGAGATGGCGCTAGCTATCCAATAGCTGACCAACTGCCTAACACAAAATTCAAGATACATATAATAGGCAGTCAACAATGCCGAGGACTTGCCTCGGAGCTTATACGATCGA